AATTTCTGTTCCACCAAATTTCTTCTTGCCTTAACCTCACACACAGTCAAGTTTTGTTATTCAATATTTCTCATAATCGAAACTCTGTACACGACAATTAATTGAAAACTTCTAAATTGGTTGTAACAATATATCGTAATTTCACATTTTACTCGCGTTTTAAATATCTATTACCCATCCTCAACATTTCAGAGAATATCTATCCACGTTGGAATAGCAAGGCGTGTTTCAACACCTTAAACGGGGCCTCCGCTGGTAGTATTTTACGTGTCTTCGGATCCTTGTGACCAAGCCTTCCCACCCGAGGGCCAGGGAAGTCATCGCGGTGAGCGTTCTATTAAATCTATCGCGAGTGTAACAACAGACGACGGATTGCCACAGAAAGAACTCAGTGAAGTGCAACATCAACTCTTCCAAACTTATCAACCATTGTAAGTCAACTTATCTTACCCACAATAAATCATCAATCTGTATACCTACACACGCTCTCATTCGTTGGCATTACATCCCCCACTTTCACAGCAAACAGATACGTCTAGCGTTAAATGGTGGCCCATAATCAGATATATCTACGCCCTAGCAGTTTCACTAGCTAAGGCTTAACACACCGTGTACGGGTTTTGCGTCTGACCGAACTCATACTTCGAAACAGTTGAGAATCGCGCGTTGCACGTGAGACGGCTGCCCGAAGCTAAGGAGTTCGGCCAGTATCGGCAGCCTGTCAACGAAAACGCTTGACGCTCAGATTAAGAAACAATTGCGAATCGTGCCATCTGGCTGTAAAGGTCAGTCAGTCAAGACAATCAATTAACAATAATTCCAAAAGTTTTCAAACTTACACGTAATGTCGAGGAGAGTATAAAAACAAACTATAAAATTTCGCAACCTTTTCCAAAATCCGAAACATTGTTAAAATTGCAATATATCATATTTTACTCTTGTTACGTATATCGACCTCCATTCCGAAACAGAAGAATAACGCAGCCGACAGGAAGCATAATTGCAGACTCAGCACATTACCCAGTGCATTGCCCGTGCCACCTACCCAGCTGGTTAGCCGAGTGCATTCCTAACGTCCTAACCGTACCTAGAGCATGAGCAAAAATCGACTATATAAGCAGCCAAAATCATGGCACAGATGCTCAGAAAATCATTCAGTTTCACGCGTAAAGATCGGACTGCACGTTGTCACTCGTGGCTCTAACCGTTAGAGTATTAGATTCAGTGTAATATTCGCAATTTGGCCTAGGTACGGATTCGTTATTACATACCCTAGGGAACAAGCTGGATCGGTTACCGGGCAAAATTGAGCTGCATAGACTAGTCTTTCCAAATATCGTATAGATTTGATAAATTTCTGTTCCACCAAATTTCTTCTTGCCTTAACCTCACACACAGTCAAGTTTTGTTATTCAATATTTCTCATAATCGAAACTCTGTACACGACAATTAATTGAAAACTTCTAAATTGGTTGTAACAATATATCGTAATTTCACATTTTACTCGCGTTTTAAATATCTATTACCCATCCTCAACATTTCAGAGAATATCTATCCACGTTGGAATAGCAAGGCGTGTTTCAACACCTTAAACGGGGAGCGAACCCACCATTGAGTGCATTCTTACCGCTCGGAATTCACTCAAATATTGTTCACGTTACCTCCGGTCGTTACGTAACAGAATTAGTGACAGCGGTAGGATTCTCTCCGAACTAGCATTAACTCAACCTGAAATACCAACACCCATCTTATCCAACTTCGAAAACCGACTAAGGAAGTTGGACTTCGGTTCAACTTCCCCATTCTTATTTTCGACGATCTCCATACTTCAAAACCGACTAGGGAAGTTGGACCTCGTGTCAACTTCCCCATTGTTATTTTTGAAGTCCTGTCTTTGAAGAACCGACTAAGGAAGTTGTACTTCGGGACACCTTCCCCATTGTTATTCTTGAGCACCTTAACCGCCTTCAGAAATCAACTAAGGAAGTTGTACTTCGGGTCAACTTCCTCATTGTTATTTTTGAAGTAACCCATCCTTTCTAAGCGTGACTAAGGAAGTTGGACTTCGGGTCAACTTCCCCATTGTTATCTTCCCTCCGAACTAGTATTAACTCAACCTGAAATACCAACACCCATCTTATCCAACTTCTAAGCGTGACTAAGGAAGTTGGACTTCGGGTCAACTTCCCCATTGTTATCTTAGAAATCCTATCAATTCAAACCACCCTAATCAAGTTGGTACCACGAACGAGTTCAGTCACATACATACATTAGACGTTTGTTAAATAACCATTTCGGAACTGCTCAAATTTGTTACTCCAACATGGCAGATGCAGATTTATCTCGATCCCTAATAGAAGCATTTAACTTCACAACATCGCAAGCTAGAATACAAAACGCAGCATTAGAAATTCCTAAATACGACGGTAAGACAACCTCACTTACAAGTTTTGTACACGCTGTGAAAACCGGAGCACAACAGTTAGTAGCTGGCGAAGAAACTCGATACCTTTTTTTTTTTTTAACGCTGAGAAATCCTCATGGATACCACGTGTCTCTCCCCTGAGGTTGAGACAAGTGGTTATGTGAGACTCTTACTCACTAAAACTCAGCGGTGCTGCCTTCAGCTGCTTGTGAACAGGCAAGGTGGGAACTAAGATATGACTTCCACCTTAGCCTGAGCAGCATAGCTCTGAGAGCCTGCCTTCTCTTGAGATGTGTTGTGCATCTTGCCTATGGCTAGGTGACGACATCTGCGCGCGCATTTCTTATTTACTTACTTACTTGCTTGCGTACTAGGCACCAGTTCCGTATTTGGGAGGAGTGGGTACCCCCCACTTCATTCTCCCAGCTGGCTGTGCACTGATCTCCGCTTTCTTCTTGCGTTTCTTCTTCTCCTTATTGCATCGTTGGTTTCAGTTTCCCTGCGTCTCTCATCTTCTTCCTTCTTCGCCATGACTGTTTCACAGAATATCTGAAAAGCTTTCCACTTCTCCTCTTCTGATATGATTTGGCTCATGATGTTAGGTAGTGTGAGGTTGTCTCCTATGGTACTTTTTAGCGTATCCCTTTCCTTGTTCCACAAAGGACATTCTTCCAGCAGGTGTTGTGCGGTTTCCTTTTCGCATCCATTGCATTGGTAGCATGCTGATGTAGGCTCTCGCATTGCTATTTTGTTTAAGTACCATCCCAGGCACCCGTGTCCCGTGATAACCTGCGTCATTCTAAAAGTTAGTTCACCATTTTCTCTATCCACCCATTTACGGAGTATCGGTTGAATTGCATTTATGGTGTTTATGCCATATTTGGGCTGTACAAGTCTCCTGCTCCATTCGTCTATGGCACTTCGTCTCAATGCCATGGGCTGCTCCTCAATCATTTTTGGGGTAGGCTGTTCTACCCTTGCGTGCTTCCAGTCATAGAGTGTGCTGACTATCTTAGCTTCTAAGTCCCAAGGGATGGTTCCCGCTAAGGCACATGCGGCGTCCGTGCTAACCGTTCGGTAGCCTCTGATAATTCGAATGGCCACCGCCCGTTGCGGTCTCCGTAGTATCATTGAGGTTTCTTCCTGTAAGGCACGATACCATACGGGGGCTCCGTACATAGCTGTGGAGCGGATGACTCCCGAGTAGAGTTCTCTACATGAGGCATTGGGGCCCTCCAGATTAGGCAGTATTCTGCTAAGTGCTCCAATAGCTTTTGTTAATTTCTCCTCTAGCATCTTGAAGTGGTCCACAAAATTCCATTTGGAGTCCAATCTAAGTCCCAGATATTTTAGCGATTTGGAGGTTTGGATAGTCTTCCCTTCTATGGTCACCTCTGATCCTACAGGGGGTCCTTTCCGCGGACCATGGAAGAGTACGCATTCCGTTTTGTTTAGGTCCACGTCAACACCTTATCTCCTTATCCTTTGTATTATCTGGGGGCCCGCAACTCCCGCTACTATGTTAGCCTCTTTTAGTGTCCTGGCTCTGATGAGTAGTAATGTGTCGTCTGCATAACAGACTACATCTACGCCAGGGAGATTTGTACCTCGTAGTACCCAGTCATATCCTATATTCCATAAAAGTGGACCTAGGATTGAGCCTTGTGGGACTCCTCTAGTCATCTTGTGTCTCATTTGGCCTACTCGCGTGGAACACACCACCCATCTGTCGCTAAGGTATACAGAGATCATTTTCTTGATATACTCCGGTATTCTAAAGTATTTGATGTCCTCATTCACCGTCTCCCAGGGCAAAGTGTTAAAGGCGTTCTTGATATCCAAGGAGATAGCCAGTAACACCTCCCTACTGCCAGTGGCCTCCTTGGCTCTCTTCTCAACATACTTTATCGCATCTATGGTAGAACGACCTTGCCGGAAGCCGTATTGTCTTTCTGAAATATTTAACGCTTCCTGAGTCATGTGTTGTAGTATCCTATTTGCAATAACTCGTTCGAAAAGCTTAGCTATCTCATCCAGTAGTACCAGTGGTCGATATGCCTAGGGCAGGGCGGGATCGCGTCCTGGTTTCTGGAGGAGCACCAGCTTTCCAGTCCTCCACTGCCTCGGCATACTACCACCTGACATGCAGTCGTTAAAGAGACCACGCACTGCTTCGCCTAGGTATTCCATGGCTATTGCCCACAGTTTTCCTGGGACCTCGTCAGGGCCAGGGGCAACGTTCTTTTTCTTCATTTTGTTAACTGCAAGTTGCAGTTCAGATAGTGTGATCTCCGGTACTGTGGCCACCGAACTTGCCAGATCAGGCTGCAGCGTTTGTGACATTCTCGGAGGCTGGTGCTGTGCACCTTCAGGAAAAAGTCCTTCTACCACTATGGTTAGTAGCTCTGGTTCCATGACCTGAGTTAGTGGAGGGGCGAATTTCCTCATTTTAGCGCGTACCATTCTGTACGGCGTACCCCAGGGATCATCATCAATTGTCTTGATTAGGTCTTTTCTCGCCTTATCTTTTGCCTTAGCAATTTCTTCTTTGAGTTTGGCTTTTGCTGTTTTGTGTGCCTCAATAAGTAGTTGTTCGGTGTCTTTATCGTGTTTGGCTCGCCGGCGAAATCTGGTTAGTTTTCTTCTGATGGCTATGCAACTCCTTCTTAGTTCGGTCAGTTTCTCCGACCACGAACCGACTTGCCGCTTTGCAACTGCTCCACGGGCTCTTGGCATTGAGGCATCGCACACTGAGGTTATGGCCTTTTCAAGGGCTCTAACTTTGTCATCAAGCGTGTTGTGCATGGTTGTCGTAGCTAACCATCCCTGCACGATAGCCTCTTCTTTGGCCATTTCTTGACTGAGTTTTTTGGTTTTCCATCTCGGCCCTACGTTCGCTGTGCCTGGGATGCAGGTTATCGGGGTGCTGTCCTGGTGTGAGGCAATTTTATATTCGATGTATTTGTGGTCGGATAAGGTTACCGTGTCCTTTAGCACTGCCCAGTATAATACCATTGGTGCGATGTCCAGCGTTGCCATGCTGATGTCTACAATGGACGATCCATTATTTCTTACACATGTGGCAGTTGAGCCTTTATTCAGTATTTCTAGTCCATTTTCGTTAGACCAGTTATACAGTTCCTTGCCCTGCGGGTCCGTCACACTTGAGCCCCATGCACTTGATTTGGCATTGAGATCACCGGCGACGATCATTCGGGTCCCACGGTGTCTCTCCATCACCGCGCCTACCTCATTAAGAAATCTCTCAAATTCTTCAAGCGGTTTATTGGGAGAGAAGTAGGTAGCAATTATTATTATTTTCCTCAGCTTTGCCGCAACCCAGCCCACTCCCTTTGACACAGGGTAGATTGTAGGCGTACCCAGAGCATAGTTGGCGTATACGCTGACTAGTCTGCCCGCGTCATTAACCCATTCTTCGGTATTAGGCCCAAAGTATGGTTCCGAGACTATTGCAATGTGCACGGATTTCTCTCTCACCGTTTGCGCCAGTAAGTCCTGCGAATATCTGGAGCGTGCGGTGTTGGCTTGGATAAATTTGAGGGCAATTTCTATGCAGTTTCAGAGAGGGATCCTCCATTTCCCTTGGTTATTTCAGGTGCGTGTTCGCAGCTTTGCATTGCCACCTCTATAACTTCGCTTCTTCGCTCTGGTGCGTGATAGTAGTAATTATGGGAGTTTGGTTTGTCTCCGTGCTCTTTGTTCTTTGCCGTCCAAGTCTTTTGTTGGCGTGTATGGACTTCTTTCCTTTGTCCCTGTTTCCTTCTAAAGTGGCCAGGCATGTTGCCGTGCTGCCCATGGTGTGGTTGGCGGGTTCGCCGGCTTCACCGCACATGTTACAGTGGGGTTCCGCTGAGCAGTCGTTTAGCTTATGCCCATTTTTACCACACCGGTAGCATTCACCGCTGCGGTCAGCCCCTGACTCGCAGTTGGCTGCGACATGCCCGTTTATTCTACATTTATAGCATTTAATAGGTCTTGCCTTTAGTAGGGTAACTTTAGTTTCTGCCCAGCCTACAGTTAATCGCCCTTCTTTCACTATTTTCGCTGCGGCTGTGATTGGGCAGCTCACGGTTGTCATACCCAGTCTTCGACGTATTCTAATAATAGTTCCGATGTTGACTGCTTCGGCTGTGCAGCCCCCAGCTTTGGCCACTGAGCTTTTGATGTTCAATATATTTGCCGTATCGTCTAGCCCGACTATTCTAAGTACTGCGCGCTTTTCCGGTCTGGCAATTTTTACCACAGTTTCATCCAATTGTTTTCTCAGGGCCTCTGCTAGCTTTCCCGCATTGGTTTTGCTGTCAGATCCTCTGATGAGAAGCTTCCTTGCAGATGTGATCGTTGATTCAATCTTCATGCTGCTTATGCCCATGCCTTCTAGGCTTACCTCTGACTTGGCCTCGTCAAGTATCTTTGCATATGTCATGCCTTTTGCCTTTCCTTCTTCAGTAATTGTAAGGACGACAGCCGAGGTAGATGTGTTACGTCCGACGCAACGCAACCCCATTGCCCCCCCCTTCAGCACCCCCTCAGAACCCCACTAGCAACGGTCAAAGACCACGATAGATGTAACCGATCCTCAGCGAACATGCGTTAATTATTGTAAATCGTAGTTTACCTATATATATATATTAATTAAGGGATATCATCATATTATATTATACTGTACACGACATTTCATACTTTCACACATTTTCAGAAATCACACCAACATTGTGACATTGCAGGTGGATGAATAGAGAGAGAGAGAGAGATCACTGCAATCAAAGAATAAGAACGGCACGGGCAGCAATGCTGAACAGGATACTCAGAATTGAGGTGCCTAAAGAGCATTTTCACCATAGTACCGCGAATACCGCGCACAGCAGAACTCCTACCCGTCACCTTCGCACCCACCTCACCACCAAGATAATCCTGACAATGCTGACGATCACACATCCATTGTATTAGAATCTCGCTATGTTAGCAGATTAACACATTCTCTCTTCTTACTGCAACTGCTATATGTATTTTAACCCATTGTTTTATTATATTTAGTTAAACTATACCTTTTTCTCTTAATTTCGAGACCTGAACCTATTAGCTCCTCAATCCTGATAAACCCTTTACCAGTAGCTTCAACTAAACTCCCGTAGAACGAGTGAGTTTACCAAATCAATATATTTAGTACCTGCTTGTGATCCTCATCTTAACCATCGACCAAGTGACATAAACGCAAATAGGCGTGCTTTAGCACCTTAAAGTGGCAAGAACCCAATACCTTTTACGTGATCTTTGATCTCAACACCCATGCTAGCTCCCTGATGCTCCCGCATACGGTCGCTCACGCATAGGACGTAACAGATGGAGGCTTCAGAGTTGTCCTAGTACCACTTTTTGGTTCTCGTTGTTGCTGATGCGGCTGCCCACTTTGTTCAGTGACAGTATTTTTTCCATCCTTGCTATCATTTCTTTTCTTCTTATCTTTTCTTTTACCACTGACTACAGTCCATACTTGCTTTATTCCTTGCGGTGTGCTGGGTTTAGATTCTCTTGGGCCGCTCATCAGTTGCTCCGTAATTTTCCCGTTAGTCTTGGAATTGTTATTATTAATTTCCTTTTTGGGTGTGCCTGGCATGTCCACTAGGATTACGCTTCGTGGAGGGATTCTCTGCGCGAGGAGAGTATTCCGGTGTTTCTCTTCAAATGCGTGGAATCTAGCCTCCATTGTAGTTTCAATCTGTGTTCGTATCATCGTTTGTAGTTGCATAAGGAAACCCTCTGGGATTGCCTGAGTGGTCATATCACTGGGGTTGCCTTGCTGCAACTTCTGCAGCTGCTGTGTTTTTTGCAGTGTTAGAGGCTGCGGCGGGTGTGGCTGGTTTGGCTTCTGCGGTGGAGGCAGTGGCTGTGATTGAGCCGCCGCCTCTGCCTTCATCTGCGCGATGTCCCTCCTCAGACTCTTAATTTCCTTGCAGAGTTTAGAGTTGTCTCTCTCAAGTTTTTCTATCGTGGCAGCTTTCGGTTCTGGCCGCTGAGCTGTTAACCTGGTAACGGCTTTTTCTATTCCGGCTGCCGCATCCTTGAGCATTTTGATGTAGGTGCCTTTCAGGTTGCCCGGTTTCTGGCTAACCTCCCTAATTTTGTCTAGTCCTTCCTTGATGAGTTCTGAGGGCGGTTTGAGCTCAGCCAGATCCAGATACATTTGGTCTTGCTTCTTTTGATGCTTCGCCACCTTGCACTCTTGCATCTTTTTTGCTTCTCTGGTTCTTCTCTTTTCCTCTTCCTCCTGTTGTTGTCGCCTAATATCTTCTGCTCTTGCGATTCTATATTCCATTCTGGCTCTCCTGGCAGCTTCATCATCGTCTAAATCTTCATATCCACTGCAGTTTTCGCTTTGGTTTTTCTTCTTACTGTTGGTGTCTCTGCTGTTCTGGGTCAGCTTTGCTCTTTTCCCGTTTTCCATTAGTTCGGTGCTTGAGTTTAGGTCCCTGTGGTAGGCCTCTGCATCAGCGTCAGCTTCTTCCTGTGCAGAGGGTGAGCTGGTGCTGTCCAGCGACACCGTCTTTTCCCTTAGGTAGCGAGTCTCGATGTTCACTATGTTTAGGGAACTGTGTTTGCTCTGTCCTTCTTGTTTGCTTGCAGTTTTAAGGCTGCGGTCTTTTGGTTCTTCTATCGGTTTAAGTATCGGGGTCCCGTCCCCTCGCACTATTCGAGGACCTGTTGCAGGGTCTTCCTCGCCCCTAGCTTTACTCTTGCATCTTCAGGTGCAGAGCCCAATGCAGAGCTCCCAGAAGACGATTGGCCACGAGCACTGCCCACCCAGGCTTTCACCGGGTCGAAGGCAGCAGGGGGGGTGGGTGTAAAACTTTTTACGTTTTTACTTTAGACGTAACAAAAGTTTTAATAACGTTATTATGTTACGATCGCTCTCTAAATACGCAGAATATGGTTAAGTTCTTACGTTCAATATTCAAGAGATTTCGTGAATGCTGATTTAGAAAAGGTAGTTAGGATGGTTCGTTGGTCAGATTTGCCAGTGCTAAACGGTACGTCCACGCGTTATGTCAAATGTTTCAGCAGATAAGATTCGGTAGGAATAGGAAATAGGTTCCAGAGGATACCTTGATCGATACGAGGATGATTGTTCTTTGAGTCTGATATGATATCCTGATTAACGAAACTAGAACGAATTTTAACTGAACGAATTGTTTGATTCTTTGCTCGGGTATTCTT